TGGCGCGGCGGCGACCCTCTCTCCTCTGTCCCGCCTTCCAGCCACAGCCTCTGACACCCGAGGGGACAGCCGCCAGCCACAGACTCTTCCCGGGGCAGGAGGCGGACCGCCCAGCTCCCGGCAAGGTGGGCTTGTGGGAGAAGCTCTGGGTCCCATCGCTACTTCCGGGAGACGCGGAGGCAAGCCGGCCAGCCTACCTCTCCTCTGATTGGCTAGCTGCTCGCTCAAGGCGCCCCTCCCAGCTGGTGATTGGCCCACGCGCTCGTCAGTCACCAGCGTCCCTGTGGGAATCTAGGTCGCCAGAGGAGCGTTACTTGAGCCTCGGTTGGGAAAAGGTTGGTTGGGCCTCCGAGCCCGGCTTGTTGATCGTGGTGGGGACCGTCCCCGGCGCGAGCTTCCGTTGTAACGGCCGGGAAAGGAACCAGTAGCGGGACGGAGGGCGGGGGTGGCAGGAAAGTGAGGGTCTGAAGTGAAGTGGAGGCACCTGACCCCGGGCAGCCTCCGCATGGGAGCGGGGAGGCAGGAGGCCTTGGAGAGGAGGCACATCCCGGGGAGGGTGGTGGTGGTGGAGCTGTGGGGCGGGGGGCGGGGGGTGTAGGGCGAAGAGCCTGGGACTGTCGAGGGAGCCAAGGGCCTGGCGGGGGATGTGCGGGGGGTCTGATCGTCCGGGTGAGCAGCTCACCAGATCCATGGGGGATCGCTTTGGCCTTGGCGAGGGGTGGAGGGGGCGACCGCCGGCTGCTCCTGGCCTTCAGGCAGATCGTGTGTCGAACGATCAACTCTCTTTTATCGCTTCAGATGGACGGCTTTCAAAAAACGCCCAAGCAGTCGAAGGATGGGCACCATCGCCGACGTTAAAAGCATGTTGTAAGGACACGAAGGTATTCGCTTTCGTTTAATTGTGGTCCCTGCCTAAGAGGAGAAGGGATTACGTCTTGAATGCTATTAGCGTCGCCTGGTTTTTATTCATAGGTTTCAACTTTTAACATTGCTTGTTACAGACCTCATATTACAGCTGGACCCATCACGCGTGCGCTTTGCTGGTAGTGGTCCTGATTCTTCTGCAAACGGTCATTTGTTAAACACGACGTAATAAAAGAACCACCTTGGGACAAACCCTTGGATTTGTAATTTAATGTGAGAATACACGTGAATTGGATGGTCGCTTGCTCCCACAGTAGTTTAGGCTTGGAGGCTAATTCCACTTTACATTTAAAGCGGCTTGCCGGTAAACACTTGGTGTGCTGGGAGAGGCAGAGTCGCAACAGTTGCTGTACTGGCAGCCCGGCTATTTGAGCCTCCAGCCTCTGTTGAGTCAGGTGCTGCATTACTCATACCCCTTAGTGGCATGCCAGAAATTGTCGAGGAATAGTTTATTTCACCCGCTGAACACCCAGATTAGCTCTTAACAACAGACCTGAGCCCTACCCTGGAAAATTCTAACCAAGGATTGAGAGTTGGATTTGGGCATCTGGATTTTTAAAAATACCCTTATGTGGGTTTGATAACCATTGCTTTAGTGACTTACTAAATAGATGTGTTTTAGAAATTCTAAAATATTTATGAGACAAGTAGTATTCTCCCTGGATTTCCTTATAGTTTCAAAGTAAGCTGCTTGGGAGCAACTTTTAAAAATAATCCAAAAAATCGTGTTTGCTTAGGCCAGGAAGTTTCACTGGCACTCAGAAAATCCTGGACTGACCACTCCAGGTTTAAGGATGAGGCTTAATGTGGGGAGACACAAAGTGCTTGGATGCAGTTTCACAATCCCCAGAGCCATGCATGGAATATTGTTTCCTGTTGGGTTCAAAGTCTTCCTGGCAGGCTTTAAGGAGAAATCAACTTCAAGCCTGTTCAATAGATATAGTAGGCTAAATTATTTTTACTTGCAGTGAGGGGTAATATTACATTCATGAGCTTTATTTTGGAAAGAGTACCTTGCTGGAAATAAGTGTAAATTATACCCTCCCAATAGCCCTTTGCTTCTAACTAAAGAATGTGTATAATTCAGGCCTACAGTTTGTACATTAATATGCAGTACCCAGATATTTGCACTATAAATGAGGGCTTTTAGACCCACTTTACCAGAGAGTCAAAAAGGTAAAAGATGAGAGAATCGCTTTGGTATTCAGGTATGAGCAAAGTGTGGTGAACCCAAATCTAGTCTGACTAAATGATGGCTTTAGGCAAAGAAGTAGGTTCAACTGTCATCTATTTCCTAGAAGTTATTTTTCATTTTATATGTAAGTTTCTCACTGCAACATTTGGCAACGAAAGTGTTTGAGTAGGAGACAAAATTAAAAAATACAAAAACACTATAAGTTAAAAATATAAAGCCATATGTATGTAGTCCATGACTTTAACACCTTGAATTTGTGTATATTGTTTGAACAGAAAGCCAGGAGTCTCAGGATGAATCGGTCTAGATCTAGACCAGATGGTGGTGGTGAAGAAACCTCATCTCAAGACCATAATCATGGTGAAAATGAGAGAAGATGGCAGCAGGAGCGTCTCCACAGAGAAGAAGCCTATTATCAGTTTATTAATGAACTCAACGATGAAGATTATCGGTTAATGAGAGATCATAATCTTTTAGGCACCCCTGGTAAGAAACAGGCACAAGAGGAGACCCTTTTTTTTTATCATTAGAGGGAGGAATTTCAGAATAAGGGGAGTTGGTATTTTTTCCCCTTCTTCCCTTTCCCAGAATATAATGAATTGTTTTTGTGAGTTTAGGAACTTTTTAATATGACAAAGTAGAAAAATCACTGGCTTACTTCTGTATTTTATAAGTGGCTGAGAATACCAAACATGGAGCACTATTATACAAATGCCAAACTAACAGGCTAATGTATATAACAGTGTTAAATATTCACATATGTGGCCCTATTTCTCTTAAGTAGTGTTTTTGCAAATAAAATATGATTTAAAACCCAATTGTAATTCATCTGGGATGTTATAATTTATTTATTCAGCTGATTTAATAACCTCAAAAGCTCAATGTGCTCATTAAGTTTTTACAAATGAAGTAACAGAAATTTGTATGTTTATATATTATATGTTTGTATATTGATGGCCCATATATTGAAATCAAGTAAAGATTTGAAGTTTTCTCTATAAATGCTTTCTTCTTAGTTTCTTTTTAACTGACAAAAATCCACAGAATTATAGCTTATAGGTTCCTAAGTGTGTCAACCAAGAGCACTTTACCAATTATTCAAATTAAATCTTATTTTAATAACTTTTATTGCTGGACATGGTGGTGTGCTCCTGTAATCCCAGTGCTCTGGGAGACTGAGGCGGGAGGATCACTAGGGTTCAAGAGTTCGAGACCAGCCTGAGCAACATAGCGAGACCCCATTTCTTCAAAAAAAGTTAATTAAGTACGGTGGCACATGCCTATAGTCCCAGCTATTCAGAGCCAGGTGAATTGCTTGAGGCCAGGAGATTGAAGCTGTAGTGATCTGTGATCACATCACTGCACTCCAGCCTGGGTGACAGAGCAACACCCTGTCTCTAAAAAATAAAAGCTGCTAATTTAAATAAAACAATAGGTGAAACACAAGCAAATTGGTGCATATTTACGCAAAATTTGAATATTTTTAACTGTCTTCAATTTATAGAACATATGAAAATAATAAGACACTGTCTTCCATAGGTCGCTAAAGATTAGTCTTACCCTTCATGAGTTCTCATAAAACTTGATAATTACAAATTCTTAAATGAATAAATTTTCATTGTTTTAGGAGAAATCACATGGGAAGAACTACAACAGCGGTTAGATGCGATCAAGGAGCAGCTTGCCTCTCAGCCTGGCTCGAGAAATGGATCAAATAGCAGAGGTACAGTGGAGGCCTCTATAAGGAATAGGCTTGGTTGGAACAACTGCAGAGTGGTATTCCTGCACGTGTACAATGTTTGCTTTTCATGTATCCCAGTGTTAATGTGGTATTCCTTCCTGTGAATGCTGTATGCAAAGCGGTGTGGGAAGGAAAGCCTCATGGAGCCCACCCAGTGAACAGAATGGTTCTACAGTTGTGCTGTCCAGTGTATTGGCTGCTAGCCAACTTAAAGACATTTAAGGTTGAGTTCCTCATTCATACCAGCCACATTTAGGCGCTCAGTAGTCACATGTGGCTAAAGGCTTCAGGATAGGACAGCACAAATGCAGAACATCTCCATTGCTGTAGGAGGTTGTATGGGACATTACTGCTGCAGGGTATCTGCATGATCAAGCTAAGTCACAGCCACTTCCAGGTTCTAGCCGGCTCGAAGGAGGTTCAGGCACTAGCCTGACAGTAGGATGTGTCATTTCCTCTCCCTTTTCACTGGTGGGACCTTAGTCACCTATTTAGCCTAACTGCCAGGCCATCCACATGCTCATTTCCGATGCTTTTATGATGAAAGGAGTAAGACCAGTTTGAGTAGATAATTTGCAAACTCTTTCACATGTGCCATCGTCACTATATTCTAGTTGATCAAGGGAGGAGGTAGCATTTAGAATGATTGATGTTTACCGGCTTTTTTACTTGTACCTTTTTTCAAATTAAAATGGAAATTGGATATTAACACCCTTATTCATTGTGTTTAGATATGTAAGTTGTACTATATTGATACCATTGCTAAAACTGATCTTTTGGATGTTTTAGCAGAAAAAATACTCATCAAATGTATAATGGCTCATCATCTTTAAATATGGCCAAGGTTGACTGGGCATGGTGGCCCACGCTTGTAATCCCAGCACTTTGAGAGGCGGAGGTGAGAGGATTGCCTGAGCCCACGGGTTTAAAATCAGCCTGGGCAACTTGGTGAGCCTTGTCTCTACAATAAATCAAAAGATTAGCTGGGTGTGGTGGTGCACTGTAGTTCCGGCTACTTGGAAGGCTGAAGTGGAAGGATCACCTAAACCTGGCAGGTTGAGGCTGTGGTGGCCATAAGCATTCCAGCCTGGGCAACAGAGTAAGACTCCGACTCAAAAAAAACAACAACAACAACAACAACAACAAAACCCAGAAAACAAAATAACAATATATGGCTAAGCTTACTGTTTTGTTTTATGGGCACCACCAGCTGATTGGTAGCTTTAACTTCAACATTTAAAACACGAGTAAAATTGCGGGAGTGAAATGAAACCAGAGCAGTCTCATTTAATAGCTGTTTTTGAATAGTACAGACTTTAATGTTGGCATCTATATAGTTAATATGTTGATGCTTTTCATTGTGTTTTGCACTTTATATAATCCACTGGTTATAAATGGAAAATTTAAGCTTGGCACAGTAGCATTATCATAGTCAAATAAGTTTATCTGGGACAAATTTATTTCTAAATTGATTCATTGAACAGTATTAATTGAGAGTCTGATTTGTACAAGGTACTGCTGAAAAGGCAGTATTTAACAGTGTATTTAAAAGGGTATTTAACAGTGACTCAAACAGTTCAAAAATCTTTGTCTTCATGGAGCTTACATTCTAAGTGAAGAGAAAAATGCATTTCATTATGTGTAACAGCTAAAATGCATGGACTGCTTCCTGTGTGCCAGATATTATGCTAATTATTTTATATACAGTGTCTTATTTTAGTCTCATAACCTATGAGATTGATACTATCATTATCTCCAATTTACAGACTAGGATACAGCCATAGAGAACTTAGATAACTTGCCTACAGTCTCCTAGCTTCACAAAAAGACAAATACAGTAGTGTTCCGATATTATATTCAGAAAGCCAGATTTCTTGATATGTACATTTCTGGTAGCTCCTGAGAAATATGATGACATTCCTAAAGTTACAAGATACCTAATTGCAAACATGTTGATTAGTTGGCTTTTCCAGCAAGATTCCACAAATACAGGATGAATTTTACCTAGTTTGCCACTGTATTTCATTAATATTACCATGTTGATAAAACAATTTTGGTAGTAGATATATTTCTCATTTACCTTAATATTTTGCCAATAATGAGCAGATGAAAAGCAGGAGTGAGGATTTCCACAGCTTTGCATAAATAGTTTTTAAATAGCATTTAAAGTTTTGTAATTATGTAAGTAGTATTTTAATTTTTATCATATGCATATAGTATATACTTTTCTTTTAGAAAGTTCAGTGGGTTTTTTGCCATTTTATTTATTTTGAAACTCTTTTTTCTGCACACTTATGCCATTTTTTTATCCATTACAATTCACAGATGTTCTTTAATTTAGTACAAACTTTGTTTTTCTTACAAGCTTTCAATAAAGCTCTAAAGCATATTTTAGGAATTGCTCTTAGGTTGGTTTGATTTGCTTTCCAGACTCAGAAGTCCCTCGAGAAAGTTCAAATGAAGATTCTTTGCTAGAATGGTTGAACGCCTTTCGGCGCACAGGAAATGCAACTCGAAGTGGACACAACGGGAACCAAACTTGGAGAGCTGTGAGTCGAACAAACCCAAACAGTGGAGAGTTTCGGTTTAGTCTGGAAATCCATATAAATCATGAGAACAGAAGATTTGAAATTCACGGAGAAGATTATACAGGCATTCCACTTTCAGATATTAACAGAGATCATACTAGAAGTAGGCAACAAAGGTCAACTAGTCCTGTGGCTAGGCGAACAAGAAGTCAGACCTCAGGGAATTTTAGTAGCAGTAGCTCCAACATTCCAAGGACTAGGCTGAGTTCAAGGGGGCAGAATTCAGTTGAACGATCTTTCTCAACATTGGGAAGGCTGAGAAATGGAATTGGAGCAGTTGGCACTCCTGGAACTAGCGTGCCACACACTAATTTCAGTAGTCACACAAACCAGACGAGTGGCAGTGAACTCAGGCAGAGGGAGGGGCAACGATTCGGAGCAGCACATATTTGGGAAAACGGGGCTAGAACTAATGTTACCGTAAGAAATACAAACCAAAGATTAGAGCCAATAAGATTACGATCTGCTCTCAGTAGTCGAAGCCGTTCGCCAATTCAGAGACAGAGTGGCACTGTTTATCATCATTCTCAAAGGGAAAGTAGACGATCTGCCAGGAGGAGAGGTATAACTCGAATCTTTCTAGAGCAAGGTAGAGAACACAGACGCACTGCATATACCCCATTCTCTAACTCAAGACTCGTGTCAAGAATAACAGTAGAAGACGGAGAAGAGACCAGCAGATCTTCAAGTGCTGCGCGAAGACATCCGACAATCACACTGGACCTTCAAGTGAGAAGGATTCGTCCTGGAGAAAACAGAGATCGGGATAGTATTGCCAGTAGAACTCGATCTAGAGTAGGGCTAGCAGAAAACACAGTCACAATCGAAAGCAATAGTGGGGGATTTCGTCGAACCATTTCTCGTTTAGAGCGGTCAGGTATTCGAACCTATGTTAGTACCATCGCAGTTCCTCTTCGTAGGATTTCTGAGAATGGACTTGTTGAGCCATCATCAGTGGCTTTTCGGTCAATTTTAAGGCAGGTTATGACTGGGTTTGGAGAAATGAATTCTCTAATGGAGGCTGAATCTGAGTCAGAGATTCAGAGAAATGGTACAGTTAATGATAGCAGCCAGCATCATAGAGAAGGCTTCTCTCCAGACAGCACTGAAATACACGGTGAAAATGAGACCACCCGGTCTCACACCCGAAACAGTGGTGGTAGAGGTGCCAGGCAGTTGCGAGATTCAGACAGTTTGGTCGAAACGGGAACGCTACCTATTCTTCACCTTGCACACTTTTTTTTACTAAACGAAGGTGGTGGTGATGATAGAATACATGGTTTAACCAAAGAGCAGATCGACAATCTTTCCACGCGGCTCTATGAGCACAGCAGCATCGACAGTGAGCTAGGTAAAATCTGTAGTGTTTGCATCAGTGACTATGTAACTGGAAACAAGCTCAGGCGATTACCTTGCATGCATGAATTTCACATTCATTGTATTGACCGATGGCTCTCAGAGAACTGCACTTGTCCAGTCTGTCGGCAGCCTGTCCTAGGGTCCAGTGTAGCCAACAATGGGTGAACTGCTGGCATCTGCTCAAATACTGTATTTCAGTTGAGCAGACTGTTCAAGCATTGTTTGGCTGAGTTATTTGTGATGACAGATGAAAAACAGGATGAAAAATAACAGATTATATATAGTTTGAACTATTTTTTGTGTGCTTTTGTAACTTGTTAAAAAGAGGAAATTTATATAAAATTTAAAATGCAAATGTTAAATTATCCAAAAGTACAGAATAGTTAATATTGCTAGAACCAAATAACCTCTAAAATGTTTTTATTTTGATAATTTTGTCATGCTAAGCACTTTTGTATCTGCACAATTCACTAGGTTAAAAATCAGTCTTCTTAACAGAACGCAGACTTTACTTAGACTTTCAAGTTTCATAGGCTTAGTACTATGTCTAGACATTAGTGTCTGAGCTTTTCATTAACTTATTCTGAGGACATCTTTTCATGAAAGAGTATTTGGTTGAATGTTTGCGAAATATATATGTTACTTGAAATGTTAAATTTAATACGCAGTATACCATATGTGTATATATAGATGTATAATTTTAAGGTTAAAATATTCAGTTTAAGATTACAAGTTTGGTTCTTATTTAAGCTTTTGAGCTAATGCTGCATATGGCATAGTGCTTAATATTGGCAAGATCATCTCAGAGAAAAATGGATTAAGATATAATTTTAAAATAGAGATAATTTACTGAAGCGTCTCTGACAATCTGACTTATTAGACAGCAAGCAATATATAATACTGAACAGATTTCTTTATTCAGAAATGGAAAATTTAGAACATACAGGTTATTTACCTTGAGTTCAGTCTTTTTGTGACCTTTTTGAAAGTGCAAACAAGTCTTTGGATTATTAAGGTATACGGTATGCATGGTTTTTCAAGTTTAGTTTTAAAATCTAAAAACAAAAGTCTATAAAGAATCAAATGCATAGATGATATGTTAAGTTCACGTGGAAGCGAAAAATCTCCAATTAAAATGAAAGACCCTTATGAGAATGGAGAATTTTATATAAACACGAAGTATGCATTGAAGATCTATTTCTACCAATAAATATTAAGACAAAGACTGTATATGAACTGTTTTTTTTCTATTGCTCCACCGTGGTTTGTTCACCTCAAAAGATTTCTTTCATGTTAAGTGCCAGGCAATGTTACAGATCTTAAGGCATCCCCAGATGGCAAACAGACAAAAGTCCCTGGCTTAATGGAAAAGGTGTATTTATTTACTCTTGGAAACTGAAAATCAGTTGGTAAGGTGAATTATTGTTCTTTCATATTTATGAATATATGACATGGTTTTCTTGTGGTGAAACTGCTTGGGCAAAATCATGGGATCAATACTCAAGGCCAGATTGTGTGAATTTAGAAATAATTCCATGTTTAATTTTTCTAAGTGATTATATTCATTAGGTTAGATGCATGCCCAGGAATGTTAGGAGTATATTTAACACCTAGAGTTAAAGGTTTTCATAAAAGTTGTGACTTTGTTTAGAGTAGATGATTTATGTAGGTCATTTACAGGACACAAGATTGGGAAGGTTGTTTTGGGTCTGATTTGAAGGCTTTACACAGTAGACTTAGGAATTTTTATTTTACTTTACAGATGTTAGATGTGCCTTGATGATTTTAGTGACAGATGGTAAGATCATTTTTCAGGCTGCAGAAAGATTAGTTTAGTGTAGAATACAGAACACAATGGAATGACGAGATGAGAAGCAAAGAAACCTATAAAGGAACGATTGTGATTTTTAAAAAATCATTATTTTTATTATCATTATTGTCATCAGTTATTATCTAACCTAGGGTAATGGCAATGGAACTGGAAAAGAGAGAAATGTTGTTTAAAATGTTGTTTACAAATAAGACTTTATTTGATCTCTAGTTCAGTATGGAGAGGTAGAAGACTGTCATATTCACAGGTGGAGAGAGATCACCCAAGTAGAGAAGGGAGAGCTGACACAAACTAGTTACAAGGCATGCCAGCGTAAACGTCTTCAAAGTGGCTTCATTCCTACAGCTTGCTTGTTTCAGTGTTACTGTTTCCATATGACCAGAGACTAAATTCACCTTTTATGTCTTATATGGAATATTCCTCAGGAAGTTCTATCTTCTTTGGTCGATCAGTTAGGAATAGAAGGAGGAGAACAAAGAGAGAAATGAAAAAAATTACAGAGATACAGAAAAAAAGAGCACATTGATTCTTTGCCTTAGTCCTTTGCAAGACATGATATTATTGCCAGCATGAAAAGAAATCTGAAATAGGCATTTGAAACAAGAACGAGGTTGTGCAGCATATGGAAGCAGCAGAACAGTGAAGAGAGTTTGTAAATTGGTGTGCCAGTGGAGAACAAAGAAAGATCTTCTTCAATATTTTCATTCATTTTCTAGTAAACATGACTGGTGACAAATAGAAAGCCTCATTAATCTACTTATAGCTTCTTTTAGCAGTGATTGTGCCCCTTGCGGTTCCAATATAGAAAGGAACAAGCAGAAATCCCTCACTTGAATACAACGTTCCACGTCAGGGCCAGAGAACTTGTTCTTTATACTGTGGCTGTCCGGAAAATTGCTGCTGCTAGATTGCCAGCTTCCAGCTGCTCTCACATAAGTTTTTTTTTTTTCCAGTTTCAGCTAGCATTGTTAGGACCCTTACTCAATTATCACTCTTAGGAGGTTCCTTTTCTTATTTTCATTCATTCATTAATTGTTGATTGATTGACTGAATTGGAGTCTCACTCTGTTGCCCAGGCTGGAGTGCAATGGCATGCTCACCACCACCGCAGCCTCAACCTGCTGGGCTCAGATGATCCCTCTGCTTCAGCCTTCCAAGTAGCTAGAACTACAGGTGTGTGCCACCATGACCAGATACTTTTTTTTTTTTTTGATTTATTGTAAAGATGAGGTCTCACCATGTTGCCCAGGCAGGTCTCAAAACTGTGGGCATAGGCAATCCTCTCACCTCAGCTTCCCAAAGTGCTGGGATTACAGGCGTGAGCCACCACACCTGGCGAATTCATAATTTAAACCTCTGTAAATCTTGAAGTATCTTTGCCATTTAACCATGTAATTGGCAGAGTTGCGTCAGTCACCTCTCACAGGCATTTGCCTCCAAAGCTCATGCTTTCCCCCGGAGAAGTAGAAACTTGGGAAGTTTTCAGTCTAATTCAGTTCCTTCTAAAGATATTTTTCTAATTGTATAACTTTGTTAAATCATGTGTTTAAGATTACCCTGATTTCCATATGCAAATGTATCCTTCTGTCTCATGGAGAAGGGCTGCTCCTGAAAGTCGCAACCGAATCTGTATTAAGATGAACCCAGAAAAGAGATGGCAAGGCATCTGAAGATGCTGCACGAAAGACCAGAGGTACTAAGCCGAGTCTAAGGCATTTCCACACATATTAATTGCTCCTAGACAAGAACATCTAATGATTGACTCTTCCTGCATCTCTCCATTGGCGTGACCTCTGTCGAGGACAGGAAGAGATTAGAAACAGCACTTTACGAGAAGAAGGTGCTGGTCACTCCCCTTGCAGTGGCAGTTGGCTCCCTTGGGTCTCTCAATGATGTGAACACTGGAAGTCAGAGAGCTGGGCTGTCCACGCTAGGGGATGATGTTCTAGGAAGCCAGATCTACCTGCCACTGAGAACATCACTCCATGTTCCAAAGGACTTGATGGTGGCTGTCAGTGGGGACTGTTTCCTCTATTTCTAGAGACAGAGTGTGAGCTATTTTGTATTTATTTAGATGTTAATTGTTTGGTCAGCCACTCTGGCTGGCTCAGATCCTGAAATAGGGCCACCTTCAGAAAGGCACTGAGGGAGGGTTTCACTGTTGGTGTTGGTGGTGGTGATGGTGGACAGGAGGTTGAGGGGATGCGAATGAATGGCTTTGACCTTGGCACTCAATATTAGGGCTCGTTCAGGGACTGCCATAATGTTGAACATAGTTCTCTGTACAACAGGGACAATTTAATCCCTCAAGATAATTGGGATCCAGAATTACTCTCACCAAGTTTTTTTTTTGAGTTGGAGTCTCACTCCGTCACCCAGGCTGGAGTGCAATGGTACGCTCACAGCCGCTACCCCAGTGTCCACCCGCTGGGCTCCAGGGATCCTTCCGCCTCAGCCTTCCAAGTAGCCGGGACTACAGGCACGTGCTACCATGTCCAGCTAATTTTTTTTTAACTTATTGTAGAGATGAGGTCTCGCCAAGTTGCCCGGGCTGGTCTTGCACTCACGGGCTCAGGCAATCCACTTGCCTCAGCCTCCCAAAGCGCTGGGATTATAGGCTGAGCCACTGAGCCAAGCCCCAAGTTTTGTTTTGAGTATTAAATCTCTGAAGACTCTGAAGACTGTATATTTTTTTCTTTTTCTTAATAACATCATCACATTTCCTCTGGAAAGTAAAAAAACACGTTCAAATGCCTTTTCCCCTATTGTATCAATGTCTCCTTTGAAGGTGGAGTAACCTCTTGACTGCCCAGGACATACACGCCATACCATACATTTAACTGTAAAAATGCTCTCATTTAACCCCAATACAACCATCTTCTGTGCAATTCCAGAAAAGTTCACACTCTCTCCAGAGGGAAACCATCCAAAATCACAAGTAGCTTCTGTGTTGTGAAGTGACACTTTTTAGCCCCTCCAAGTTCAGGTTTTCTGGGTGGCATCCATTCCTCCATTGGCTTGGGATTTGGTCAGGTCTCATTATGACCCCCTCACTAACGTGCAGCTTATGCAACGAGTGACAGAAGTAGCTTCTCCTATCTACCTGATACAGTGAAATGGAATAAAAATCAAACCAAAAGTGGAGGAAGAAGTGCCACACGTCGATTGCTGGTGCAGAATACAAACCATATCTTGCTGAGCCAGCTTAGCAGGACTAATGATACAGACAGTAAGTCTTGTAAGGATTCTCTTTGTTGACTCACTTGTCTAGATGTCAGTTGTTTGGTCAGTCACTCTGGCTTGAGATAGGGCCATCTTCAGAAAGGCACTGAGGGAGGGTTTCCTATTGATGCTGGTGGTGGTAATGGTGGGCAGGAAGTTGAGGGGATGTGAATGAATGGTTTTGACCTTCGCACTCGATGTTAGGGCTTGATTCAAGGACTGCCATAATGTTGAACAGTCATATTATCTGTACAGCAGGCTAGGGATTCTGAGAATGTAACTTCCTTAAAACTATAGTTAGTTGAACAATTTCATTTGAAGTCTTTTTTTTTTTTTTTTTGAGCTGGGGTCTCACTCCATCACCCAGGCTGGAGTGTAGTGGCACGCTCACAGCCACCCCAGCATGACCTGCTGGGCTCCGGTGGTCCTCCCGCCTCAGCCTTCTAAGTAGCTGGAATTACAGGTGTGTGCCACCGTGCCTGGCTAATTTTATTTTATTGTAGAGGTAAAGTCTTGCCAAGTTGCTTGGGCTGGTCTTGAACCTGCGGGTTCAGGTAATCCACTCACCTCAGCCTCCCAAAGTACTGGGATTACAGGCTGAGCCACCGGGCCTGGCCTCATTTGAAGTCTTATATCCAGTGCCAGACATCTTATATTGTTCTCTCATTTGCTAAAGGAGCAGCCGTGGCCCTCACACCTTTAGTTTTTGTTTGTTTGATTTTTTCATTCATTCTTAGCTTTTTTTTTTTTTTTTTTTGAGTTAGGATCTCACTCTGTCACCCAGCTTGGAGCGCAGTAGCAAAATCACCATTCATCGTGGCCTCGACCTCCTGGGCTCAGGCAATCCTTCTGCCTCAGCCTCCTGGAGTACCTAGGACTATAGGTGTGCACCACCACACTCAGCTAATTTTTTTATTTTCTGTAGAGAACAGGGCCTCACTATGTTGCCTAGGCTGGTCTCGAACTCCTGGGCTCAAGCAGTCCTCCTGCCTCAGCCTTCCAAAGTGCTGGGATTACAGGCGTGAGCTGCCACACATGGCCCTTTTTCAGCATTTTGTTGAGAGGGTCTTTCTATTACTCTTAACTTCCAGCTAAATAGGTTTTGCTTCTGGAACAGTTGGGAGCCTTTCTTACTCTTTCCTTGAATGTCACCCTTGTCCTTTCATTTATTTCAGAC